GTCGATACTTTTGGCCCCACATGGCAGAGGACATATACAGACTGTGCCGTACCTGCGACATATATCAGCGGAAGAAAGCAGCTGCGCGTAACCGGGAGAACCTACTACCCACGGTCCCAGTAGCAATTTTCGATAAGGTTTACATCGACCTCACTAGACCTATGCACATCACAGAATCAGGCAACCGATATATCCTGGCCATGGTTGATCATTTCTCAAAATATGTAATCGCAGTGGCCCTCCCCGACTGTTCTTCAGTCACAGTGGCTAGGGCTCTAATGAATGAATGCATTCTCAAGTACGGGGTAATGACAGAGCTCATTTTTGATAACGCCTCCTTCTTCCAATCGGAAACTCTGCTCGAGCTCGGAAAACTGCTGCGTGTTCACAAATACTTCTGTACACCGTACCACCACGAAGGGAGTGGTGCGTGCGAAAGGGTATTCGCAACATACTAGCTTATGCTGCGCTCATATATGTATCAGCGCGGCCCAGACCGACTGAGATCAATTTGAACCAGCATGCACGTTCATGTACAATACTTCTACTCATAGCAGCACCTTAAATACTCCCTTCTTGATGTTCGGAAGAGACCCCGTCCTCAACATTGATTTAATTATTCGTCACCACGATGAACGTCACGTCCCCTCTGACTCCACTACGCAGACCTATGTAGAGCGTCTTTTACCAGTACTTCACTCGGCATGGAAGGCCGCATTTCGCTTCAATATGAAACAGCGCGACAGCTACAAGTCACAGTATGATAAACACTACTTACCTCCGCTAGAGGTCAGGGTGGGTAACAAGATCTACTTTAGAAATCTCTGCCCTCCCTCCGGTCTCTTCTTCAAGCTGTGCATGCCGTGGCTTGGGCAGTTCCGTGTAATCTCGGTGCAGCATCCTCATGTCATCATCGTCAGTATTTCCTCTCACGAATCTTCCCCTGAGAAAGTTCACATGAACCAAGTCAAAAAATGCCACCTGTTATCGGGACCAGTTTTCACTTCCCCTGGCTTCCCGAAGAAGAGGTCACGGCACTGGTTCATGCTCAAAGCGAAGATTACACCATTCCGGGCTACTCGCGTTCTTACATATTGCCCAAGGATGCGAAGCGACCAATAATAACTCATCCCTACAACACCCGCTTCAAGAAGAGTATGAATTCGCTTTAGGCTACCACACAAATTTTTCATGACCTCTTCACTATGTTTTGACTCATTTAACTACCCCTTTTTCATTTTTTCCTCGTCATATCTTGACAGACGCCATGGCTTTCTCTCCACGGTCTTAACCAGTCAATATGAGAAAACTGAAACATTACTGGGATTGCGATTGCTCTCATACACTCCTTTGTCCTCATTTTAATTTGAAGCAGCAAATACTCTCAGATAGTATCTAACAAACAAACAGCTAACAATAATTCCTCTCAGATATCGCTCACTATGACTGACTATGACCCCATAGACACCGCCACAAAAGCCAACGAGGACAACCACCAGCTGGCTGTGGAATCAGGTACCGGGGCGGACTCCCCTTTGCAACTTACTGCCATACCTTGGCCGATACAGTAGTGTCATTCTCAACCGAATGAGATACTGACTTCATGGACGTAGAGTCCCTCTTGAGAACACCGGAGTCACGATCTGGAGCTCATGGCCAGGATGACTCCAGACGTTCTTCGTTGCTGGCGGATTTCCCATTGAATGTCGGCAACCATTCTCCAACCCCCCCATGATGGACACCACGGAGCATACATGCCTAACTCCCCCATTGGATACAGCCACAAGCAGCCAAGCTTCGAAGTCAACAGCAGTTGCTCCAGTTCATCGACCTTGCTCTCCTCCTCGCTGGATCGCCTCTAAATCACTACGTTTACACCGTCTACGTTACTTCAATGTAGCCACTGCACTACACACCCCCCTCCCAAGAGAAGCTCCTTTTTGGATTCGTGGTACACGTGGCGCCCGCTCGGCACCTCATTTTCGACCCCGTTCTTCATCTACAAGGGCTCGGCGTGGACGCCCGTTGGAATCAACTGGACTGTCTAGACAGGACGCTGCCCTTTCGCGAAAAGACGAATGGCACGACTGGAAAAGTGACCTTCCGAAAAGAACTCCAGAGGGCTATACACACCACTTGGCTCAACACCATCCGTGGGCACCTTTAGTACGCCCCCGTCCTTCTCGTTACGCAGACATCCGGAGCGAGTGGGTCACGAGTGAGCTACACAGGCCTATTCCTCCAGCCGGCTACCACGCAACTCGTTGGGTTCGATCACTCTTTCCCGTATTTATCCGCGACCTCCCTAACACGTCCAACAAGATCCCCGTTATGGAACTCCAGACACTGGAAGCTGCAATACACTTCCGAGAGGAGTCTGCGGCAATTATTCCCAGCAACCTAGATGGTCAATATCACGAGCCTGTGCGCGAGAACCAGCAGACTCTCTTTAAGTCATATTCATCGACACTGGCTCCTCCTCGCAGCGGCGGTTTTCCGGTGCTTTATCCAGTGGTCGCGGTTGGTTACGGCGACGGTGTTATCTTAGAAGCTAAAGATTTCTCTGTGGTAGGACCCGACAGACAGGATCTACATTACATCGTTCTCGAGCAATACGCCATTGAAGTAGCTACGGACATGCGAGGTTTCGATCGATCGCTGATATCGGTTCATGACTTAGTATAGATCTACTCTGTCACTCCCACTCGGGCGGCACTTCAAAATCCAACATCAATTCTGGAAAGGTCTCGCATCCCCCGAACTACAGCGATGGAGTGGTCGTCGGTATATTTCTTTCGTGCTTACCGATTCGCATTCGTGAGACCCCATGTACGTCACAAAACCACCATCGGCATGGCTGTCCACCTTGTAATCCGGGCAGGTCGCGTCAAAAAGTTTCTCACTGTATTCGAAGGCGCCCCAGAGGCAGCAGTGGTACCTCCCTCTCTGTGCGTTACTGACCCGAGAACGTCTACAAATACTCACTTATTCTCGCTGAAACCAGAGTCAACACGTCATAGGCGATGCGATTTTCTGAACCACCGGTATCACAACAGGCGCGAGACGAGCTTTGTGAATTAGTTCGCCAGTTCTTACCCCTCAACGCGAGCGAAGGAGTATTACCCCTTCGCGAAATGAACCTCCGTCCGACGGACAAGGAAAGGTTAACGGACAGCGCCAACAACTCGACAGCCACACCACCGACACAGCTAGAGCCAAGCGTAAGATGGGACAGCTTTTCA